AGCTATCACTAAGCGAAGTTTAACCTTCCAAAACAAAGTATTTGAAAAGTCAGGAAGACAACTAGTGTTATGAGTAACGTGGGTGAAAAAGGACTTGCAGTATAGCTGCCTGACTTTTCAAGATTCCAAATTCTCGGTAAGCTTATAATGAAGGGAAACAAGCCTCAAGCGTATGAATCAACAACAGGTACCCGGAATTTGAGAGGTCTGTAAAAGTGCATGTTCCAAGAATGCCTGCAATCAAAACATAAAGGTAAGAGGTGATCTCCAATCCGAGTCTTCCCTAAATAAAACCCAAGAACTGTCCCCCAGCTTCAAACGGTTGAAAAGAATAAAAAAAGTCATATAGCTGACAGATACTCTTCTAGGGGCTTCTATGAGTAGAGGAATTCCTAGCTCAAAATCCCAATCATTCCATTGTATATCATGGATACTCTTAATGTGTACTATAGAGATTAGGTTTTTAGGAAAATACCAGTGTCGTTTAGCCAATAAAAGCACATTTTTTTAAATTCCCAATGCCCAAACCACTATCCTTCTTAGGAAAACAACACATATCCCATCTCAACCACCATCCTTCTTGGGAAAACAACTCATATCCCATCTCACCAAAGGATCTCTCAAAGCATCCCTTTCAGTGTAAGAAAACCTGTAACTCATATCCCAATGTCATGATATTATTGAATAATTTGGCTTTACATACACACAACTTTCAGTGTAAGAAAAGCAATCCAGAAAAGAGCCTAGGACTCTGATATCATGTGGAATTTAGAGAAAAATTGAAGTTCTTATATATTGAGAATAAGCACGTATATGGATAAATGTAACTCTTACAAAGAGAAAAAATAGGAAATTATTATGGAAATCAAATCAAATCTCCATATCAATAGAATGCTTCAATTAATATCCCTGTAATTTTAGGAAGATTCATTACCTAATGTTAAGACAAAAGTTTGAGAGATTTTCCAACAATATCTCTAATCTTCAGAGAACTTGCTTAATTTTTTGTCAACCTTTGTACTTTGTCAAAAATGGTAAAATATCTATTGTAGCAGTATTTAAGTGAATGTTTTCTTTAGAGAAGAACACATGCACTAATGAGCTAGAACAAAAAAGATATGACTTTATATTATTGTGATACTATAGAAAAATATGATATTATAGAAAAAATATCAAGTGAGGTGCTTTCCTCCAAGTTGAGTTTTTGTTTCTCTCTTTGTAAAGCTCGCATTTGGTGCTTTCCTCTTAATTATATATTTGATTATCTTGCACATAATGAATTAAAAGCTTCATTCTATTTGATTTTATTACCAAACACTTCCATTCAATTTTGTTTCACACAATTGTCGTATTTCCTTCCCACTAAATCTCTTCAGAATGCCACTGATGAATTTCCTGCAGACACAATTTAAATTTAACTGAATAATTACCTTTATTGCAAATAAATCTCCCGTTGTTCTTTTGCGCGCAAGGAAAACTTTACCAAAGGCACCTCTGCTTATTGGTTTGATGATCTCAAAGTCATCAATGCTTGTCCGGTCTTTGTGCAACAAGTGTGGAGGAGTTGATACACTACTCTGGGATGCACTATCCAGGAACATTCCAGAGTTCTCATTATGTTTGCTATGACTCATATGACTTTTACCATCCATTACTTCACAAGCAAGAATATACTTTTCCCTGCATGTGAATTTTAGAAATGTGCATGAACAAATATGGCCAGTGCAGAAGTTAATTCTATAAATATTATATGTAGCACCAAAGTACCGCAGGAGTTTCTCGATTCTGCTTCCAAAAGTGTCTATGACAAGCGCTTTCATTTTGCTCTGCTTTAGAACATCTTGTAAGTCTTGCATGCAGGCTAACAAATAGTCACAAGATCCTTCTGTGGAAAGATCTGTGCCTGCCACACAGCGGGCTATGTCTGCAAGGTCTATCATCTGCAAAAATAAATAGGAAATTAGTTAGATGCATAGCAAAAATGAAAGCTACAGAACACTGGATGAGATGTTTACAGAAGACATTAATATGAAAGATAAAAGCACAAGCTTAAATAAATAATGTATTGGTTTAATCATAAAAACAGGGGTAGCTCAAGAAGACAGCACCATTTGATACTTACATATAAATATGAACAGACACTTAATATGAAAAATAGTCTATTGTTTTACTGGAGAAGATAGAAACTTCTGATAGCATCAATAATTAACAGGTTTTAAGCAGTAACAAGTTATTCTATAATTTGCTATATTGGCAAAACTGAGTCTAAATGCAATTGTCAGAAGCCAAACCATCTGGTTTGTGAGAAATGACAGACCTGTGTTACATACAGCAAGTTTTTGGAGAATTTCTGGTACAAAATAACCCAAAACTTTTTCTTTAGTTTTCTTATAAGCTCATAAATATTGGGTTCAAATCAAATGGGAGACCACCCAAAGGTTTCCCAAAATTTTCCTCTAATAAAAAGGTTTCATGGTTATACAAGTTGTTTTACATCACTTTGTGCATTATTCTGTTTGCTACTCTAACCCCAACTACCAAGTAAAATTGGCTCCAAGATGAACAGATGGATGTCAATGCATTTCAGTTGTAAACTTTTGTCTGTTCAAGATAATTTTCACCTTCTAAAAGTATAGCTATCTTGAAAACAGATTAAATTTTGTGAATAAAATGCAAAAACATAAATATTAAATATTTTAGATGGAGAAGAATCCACCTAAAAATAACTAAACCTGTTGCACATCCTCTTGCTCAGATGGATTGTTGCGCTCCAACCAAAAGGAGTCAAAATGACTTGTCCTAGGCGTATTCGTTGAGGATACTGATGTCATGCTCCCTGTTGATGATGATGCACCATAGCCACAGAGCTTTGAACCCAAATGGCTCTTGAAGTTAATAGGGTTTAGATGAGAATCATCAATACAAGCAGTGTCCATCTCATGTATATCTTCAAACATTCCTTCAACACCTTTATTTCGCCACTCATTTATCTTGGGAGAATAACCATCCGGTGTCATAGCAGAGTTCGTACTTTGTATCCTTGAAAATTTCAGGGCTTCCAATGGGAGGATAAGTGCTTAAGTTTCTGGACTCAATAATCTGTTCCAGTAATTCCTCAAGTTTTGAGAGTTGTTCATTTACATCTACACAATTTAGTTCACACTTATCTGCATATGCGCATATATAAGAATGGGACTCCAGATGAGCAATAGGAACACCTTCCTCGCATATCCTACAGATTACTAAATCAGATACATCTAGATTATGCTCCGGCTCATTAAATAATCCAACTAGACGTTGTTGCTGCTCTTTCGGTGAACTACAACCAGAATCATTCAATAACTTCCCCTCGTAACTGCCTCCACCTAGATGAAACCGCTGCTCTTCTGAAATAAAATCAAACTGAGATTTCCGTGTTGGTGACTTTTCATCCGGTAACATAGAACCCTCTCTGGAAGGTTGGTCATTCTGATCAACAGCCTCGGTAGAACTGCACCAAACTGTCTCAGGAAGAGAAGACACATGGGTTTGCTCTTGCAATTTTGATTGAGCATCAAGTCTCTGATATAGAGGATAACTGGAACCAGAATCAGCAGACCTGGAGGTAGGCACCCAATTCATTTCAACAGCAGGAATGCTGTCTAAACATTTCTTAAATTTATGAAGTGATTTCTCATCAATTGGTTCGCTTTCCTTTTGAAACATCAATAGCCTAGTGCAACGTGTCAATATAAAGAGCATTCGTGTGAACAGCCACTTCACCATTCCTGTCTGACATTGTTGTCTTTTCCCAGTTAAATCTTGGACAATACTTTCACATTTAGCACGAAACTGAGAACAGGTCATCTCTATACAGTTTTGAGCAATAACTAGTAGATCCTCCACCATTTTCTGCTCTTCTGAATATGAAGAATCAGTTTTCTCGATAACATCCACAACATCCCCAGCAAAACCAGCCAGCTCTACATTCACTATTTCTTTAGCAGCATCAAATCTCGAATGCAATGAACCTAAGAGCTCCTGGGAATTAGCCCATAGATAGCAAAGAGAAAAAGAAATAATTAGATAAGGGAAAAAAATAAAATTGAACTGTCCTTGAGGTAAAGACTTGCAAACAGCAGGATCATTTCGTGGGGGGAGTAAAATCTGTGTCTGCACTACGATAATGTCTTCTCGAATTTGTCCTATTAAAATATTCAATTACTATTTGGCAAGTTGCAAGACTAAGCAAGAAAAAAAGATGTTGCGGTGAGTTCCTTTTTTGTGGAAAACTTTTTGGTCGGGTTTATGAGTAAGCACCCCACTCAATCAAGTCTTTGGTCAAATTTCAAGAACTGTGCAGTATGATTGAGTCAAAATGATTTCTAGACTGTCGTCTTCTTCAAATGTTAAACTTCAAGTTTTGCCCTTTTCATTTCAAAGAACTACCTCTGTGTATGTCTATCGTATCCAACTCATGATTTATCTATTAATCAAGCAGACAAATAATGAGTCAAAATCTGTCAAGAATCTCAGACAAATAATGATATCTAGAAAGTTCATTTCACCCTATAAACCTCTATCTAGATGTACTTTCATAGATGAAGCAAATTTATTATCTTATATTATTTCTCATTTCAAAGGAAGCTCTTTAGTCCAAGATCAATGATTTAGCCATCATTTTCTAGTGGTACAAATAAACAATGAATTTTTATGTAGGGAGAAAAATATCCAACAATACTGGTTGAGGTATTTGAAAGAGGGAAATCTCTCCATTAACTGCCATGAACACCAAGTTACTTGTAGATTATGTTGAAGGAGTAACTATATGTACCCAATAAAAGAAAACAAATCCCCTTAAATAGCACCTCTTCAACCCAGAAAAAAGAATCACGTGATATATAACTGGAATTTGGTACTTTGCCAAATACTTTGTTACTTAATTTCCAAGAGATACCTTCAAATCAGTGTAACTATGGGCCCGTGGATAGGCAGATTGAATGCCTCCCCTTGGTCCTAATTCATGTGAAAAGCTCTTTAAACCTTTTGGGACTTTGCTACTGCATGCATTATCTGCTGAAAACTGTTTAATTCTCGTAGATTCCTCTTCCTCAAGTGTCTTACTTTCCGACTTCGCATCCTGTTAAATCAGTAGCATGGCTTGCTTAATACTTCTAGTAGCATATCAGGAATAACAAATCATCAAATAATATTGAAAATGGAAGTAACCGATCATCGATACACTAATATCATAAGTAAGATCCAAACTCTCTACCTCATTATTTGGAGGGCCATGATGAAGTAACTGACTGGAATTCCTGGAAATATACGAGGTGAACCACTTAGATATCTTCTTTCCTTTGCGTTCTGATAGAGATACAAAACCGAGAGCACATTACATTAACAAGACCTCTATGTGCTTCAAGAAACTGAACTTAGCAAGTAGTGATTATTAGATTACTCGTTTCATTTCCACAACTTTAGAAAAGGAAAGGGTGTCCCAACTAATTGAAAAATGATTTAAGTAACAAGTTAGCAGGGAACTGTGTTTGGATAAAAACGTACTTAAGATTGACAAGCCACCATGTCAAATAGCGAAGCTGATAGAATATGATTTGCCTTTTCAGCAGAAGACTGTGATAATTAGCAGAAATCCCCATTACTTATTCAAAAATATAAATATTTGAATTCTTCCAACATTTTCTTGCAGCCAAAGAGCTTAAAAAATAAACAAAAGAAAACGAAAAAGATCATCCAAGGAGGAGTCTGAAAACCTTCTTTAGAAGAATCAGTGGTCTTGCCTCGCTTTGAGCACACACTTCTGCTT